TCATCCAGCGCGTATCTTGCCTCAATATAGCACTACGATGTGCAATTCAGGGTTTCAAACCTTCAGGACATCATTTACAACCATTACTCACCTCGAACTGGCTAATTCTCTAGCTCAGAACGCCTTTGCCCCTCGAATTGGCCTCCACGCGCGTCGAATCTATCCAAAATCAGAACGAATACGTCACAATATGCTAAAGGAACAAAGCCCAAGCGAAAACATTCGAAAAATATTAAAAATCTCGAAATTAGCAAAACCCGAGCCCCGGGCCCACATCTCGGAATCGGGTAAAATTTACATTTTTAGAATCCTCATACCCTTACGAGTCTAACCATGCCAAAATTATCCAATTCCGATACCATTTGGTCCTTCAAATCATCATTTTACATTTTTGAAAGGTTCCACAATTTCTTCCCAAATTCCATCTCAAATCACGAATTAAATGATGAATTCAGTGATAGATTCATGTATTATAGCCAAATCTGAGTTAAAATCACTTACCCCGATGAATTTCTTGAAAAACCTTCGAAAAATCGCCAAAATCCGAGCTCTCTAGGTCAAAATATTAAATAAAACCCAAAACCTCGTATTTATAGGTACCCCTCAGGTATCAGCTACCGCGGGCCGCACCAAAACTCACGCGGTCAGCGCAAGCCAGTGCGGTCCGCGCAAAGGCAAAGTGCGGCCGCACAGGCCTCCCTCTGCAGTGATAGGCTTTAGTATTTTGGTCATAACATTTGCTACAAATGTCCAAATTGCAATAACGTTACCTTTCTGGAAACTAGACACGAAGAGCTACAACTTTTGTTTTTGAATCACCTCAAAATTCCTTGTAAATCAAAAGTTATGAGCTTCCGAAGTAGTACCAGCAGATCGTTCCCCACGCGGCCGCACACCATTTTGTGCGGTCCGCATGACGCCTACCACGGTCGCGTCCGCTTTTGTGCGGTCCGCACAACACTCAACGCGGGCGCACTTATTTTTGTGCGGACCGCATGGGTGAGTTCTGGGGTCTGCAACCCCTGTAGACCTGCTACAGCTATGATTTTTGCACTAAAACATCCCGGAACCTACCCGGAACTCCCGGAACTTCAAACCAATTGTACCAACACATCTTATGACATCGTTCAAACTTGCTCAAGACTTCGGAACGCTCACAACAACATCAAATCACCAATTTAACATAGGATTCAGGCCTAATAACTCCAAGAACTCTTAAATTATGCTTTCGATCAAAAGGTTTATCAAATCTCGTCCGAATGACCTGAAATTTTGCACACACATCCCAAATGATACAATGAAGCTACTGCAACTCTCGGAATTCCATTCCGACCCCTATATCAAAATCTCGCCTATCAACCGGAATTTGCCAAAATATCAATTTCGCCAATTCAAGCCTAAATCTTCTCTACAACTCCAAAACTCATTCTGATCGCGCTCCTAACTCACAAATCACCTCCCGAAGCTAACCGAACCATCAGAACGCACTTCCGAGCCTTCTAACACATAAGTCAACATCCGGTTGACTTTTCCAACTTAAGCCTTCTTAAAAGAGACTAAGTGTCTCATTTCTTACTAAATCCTCTCCGAACTCGAACTAATAAACTCGATCACATAAAACACGGATAACGAAGCGTAAAGAAGTTGAAATGGGGGAAATGGAGCGGTAACTCATGAGACGACTGACCGGATCGTCACAACACCCCTATTTATTGCATCCTCGAAGTTACATTTAAAATATTATTGTTAACTAAATTTAACTCATAATCATAATTTAATTATTTGAACTAAGACTCATATTTTTAACAAACGTAAGCAAAAGAAGCGGCGTGGCTTAAAATACAAATGGAAGTGCAGCTAATTAAGCCACCGTCAGAGCCGCTTAATGCAATGAATATTGACAATCGCCACTTATCGCGTGGCCCCCATATTACAGCCTGTCTCGGCTTCCCACCTAAACAACAAAAGGAAACCCCCTTAGCTTCCCACCTCTTGTTAATTATGCAGGGAGCCAAGAACTCAACGTAACTTCAACTTAACCCCCCCAAACTCTGAGCTCGCCCTTTCATTGGCTCCTTTCCATTTCTCCACATGTCTTTCCCTTTTTAGCTTTTAAGCTAACCCTACTGCCCATCTCAATTTACCACCCAATTTCCTTCCAGAATAACATTCCTACTCTATATTTTTAAATTTACTCATTCCGAATCCAAACATGAGTAGTTTTAGTTGATAAATTTTGTTTTAGAATATTTGATATTTTAAAAATAAAAAGCTGTTTATATTTCTTTTATTTACCTTACTGCATATTATATTAATTAATAACTGAAAAGCTTAAGAAGAGATAAAAATAGTTTAATTAAATACTTTTATAATAAAAAAATATTAAATGTCTCTGTTGAAGGGTATGTAAAAGTTTTTAAAAACAAATAATACAGACCAGAAAATTTATATATACTGATAGTGTAATTAAAGATAATAATGGTTGAAATTAGGTAAAATCTTATTGTATAAAAGATCTAATAAATAAAACTGAATTGTCTAGTTTGCTAGCATATCTATGTGCGTAAAATATTAAGAAAAACTCCACTGCCCATATCAAATTACCACCCCATTTCCTTCTAGAATAAAAGAAAAATCATGAATTTTTTTTAAAATTTACTCATTCCAATTTTAAATATTAAGGAAAGATAAAGTATAATTCAAACAAAAACTCTTGTTACTAATATTAAATGACTTTCCTAAGGAGTGTACAAAAATCTTAAAAAATATGTAACAGAGCTAGTAAGTTAGTACAGTAGTATATATTAATAATGTAAACGACGTTTATGCTATCAATATTAAAATATAAAATATTATAATAGATTACCTCTCTTAGTTTTGTTATTAATTCACATTTATTGTAAAGTTTAAAGAGCTAGAGCGTGAAAAATGTTTAATATTTTTATTATATTAAAACACTAAAACATTTATTTATTATTAAGGAGAAATAAATCTAGGATCATAAAGTGTTAGTAGTTGAAATTAGGTAAATTTTTAAAGAACTAGATAATGTAAAATTTATTACACGACTAGCCAGTCTATAAAACTTAAAACTCTTATTCATTATCAAGGGGAAGTAAATCTAGGATAATAAAGTAGTAGGACGTGAAATTAGGTAAATTATCATACCAACAAATAAAATTGAACTGTCCAGTTTGCTAATATTTCTATGTGCGTAAAAACTTGAAGCCAAAGTTGCTCAGTTCCATCTGCCCAAAAACCAAAATGTAATACTCTTATATGTGTCTCTCTCTCTCTTTTTTTTTTTTTCTTTTTAACCTGGTGTCCGGTATTCGACGTGGGATTCGACTAAATTCGGATTTCGGGCCGAAAAGTTTTATATTTGGGGTAAAACACTTCCTAACAAAGGCAACTGAATACCCAGGGCTCGAACCGAAACCACTTTAAGAACGAAGAAGTACGTACCACTCCAACGCAACCTAATTGATTTATATGTGTCTTCACTTGAAGCCAAAGTCTCCAAATTCCAAATACACATGAGTGACAGAACAGAGAGAAAATAGAAAATAACCCTTGACCCTCCTAATTATTTATTATTCCACCAAACAACTACTACTTCTACTACCTATACACCTTTCCTTTACTACCAAAGAGGCAAACGCACAAACCCACAAAACACAACACGTTCTTCTACCGACACTCTCAGAACTCTCCTCACAGAGAAAGAAACTAGAGAGAGAAAACGAAACAAAACACATTCTAGTGAGAGAAAGCTCAACTCTTTTGGCCATGGATTTTCAGATCTATGGCGTTAGCAATCTCTTCATTTTCACTGTTATACTCCTTTTCTCCATTGCAGCTGCTACATTGCAAGAAAACCAAAATGCAACATTTGTAAAACCCACAACTTCAGCACCCCAAATCAACTCAAACTCCATTCTTGTAGCTCTTTTGGATTCTCACTACACTGAGCTATCTGAGCTAGTTGAAAAAGCCCTTTTGCTTCAAACACTTGAAGAAGCTGTTTCTAAGCATAACATTACCATTTTTGCCCCTAAAAATGAGGCTCTTGAACGTGATTTGGACCCTGAGTTCAAGCGTTTCTTGCTTGAACCTGGGAATCTTAGGTCGTTGCAAAATCTGTTGCTGTTTCATATGATTCCCGCTCGCATTGTTTCCAACCAATGGCCGGCGCGTGTGCACGCGACCTTGTATCCTGGAGATGAGAATGTAAATGTTGTGCAGAAGAACGGTGAGAAAATGGTGAGCAGCGCAATGATTATTAAGCAAGACGATATTATCAAACCCGACGGTGTAATTCACGGGATTGAGCGTGTGTTGATACCTAAATCAGTTCAACAAGATTTCAACACCCGTAGAAGTCTCCGGTCAATCTCCGCCGTGCTGCCCGAAGGAGCACCGGAAGTTGACCCGAGGACTCACCGGTTGAAGAAACCTGCACCCGTCCCAGCTGGCGCACCACCAGTGCTGCCAGTATACGATGCACTAGCGCCCGGGCCATCTCTGGCCCCGGCACCGGCTCCCGGCNGGCCATCTCTGGCCCCGGCACCAGCTCCCGGTCCAGGTGGACCCCACCATCACTTTGATGGTGAAAGTCAAGTAAAAGATTTTATTCAAACACTCCTACATTATGGAGGTTACAATGAATTAGCAGACATTCTTGTGAATCTAACATCATTGGCTACAGAAATGGGTAAATTAGTATCAGAAGGGTATGTTTTAACTGTTTTGGCGCCCAATGATGAAGCGATGGCTAAGCTGACGACTGATCAGCTTAGCGAACCAGGGGCACCAGAACAGATAATGTATTACCATATAATACCGGAGTATCAAACGGAGGAAAGTATGTATAATGCAGTGAGGAGATTTGGGAAAGTGAAGTATGATACATTGAGGTTACCACATAAAGTTGTGGCTGAGGAAGCTGATGGTTCAGTGAAATTTGGGGCAGGTGAAGAAGGGGCATATTTGTTTGATCCTGATATTTATACTGATGGAAGGATCTCTGTGCAAGGAGTTGATGGTGTTCTGTTCCCTATTGAGGAAATTAAGGTGGCTCCTGTAGCTGCCCCTGTTGCTAAGGTTGTTGCAAAGCCAAGAAGAGGTAAAAATAATTCTACTAACTTTTTTACTCTTATCTAATTTGGGTTTTTCAATATTAGTGTAGTTTTTGTTTCTTTAATTGAATTCATTTGATTGGTTATGTGAGTATCACTTTGGAGTTTATTAGGAGTTGTTAATTCTTGAAAAATGGGAATTAAGTTAGCTTATTTAGTCAGTTTGCGGATGTTAAATTTTGCTCTTTTGATGTTAAAAATTGCATCTTTTGGGTTAATTTTGCTCTGTTGATGAATTCTAGTGAATTATCACAAAATTCTGCTTGATTTTTATTATAGGGAATATATATGGAGTCTTTCTGAGTTCTTGAATCTTAAAAATGGCTATAAGTGTAATAGATGAGGTTTTTATGTTTTTTTACCTTTTAGATTTTGCTCTTTTGATGTTAAATATTGCATCTTTCTTATGAATTCTGGTGATTTTCCCAAAATACTGTTTGATCTTTTTATTGATAAGTATGGAGTTCTTGATCGTTTAATGGCTGAAAATGGGGATAAATTGAGGTTTTTATGATTCTGTCTTCTGAATTTTGCTACGTTAAAAATTGTGTCTTTCTTAGTACGTAATTCTGGTATAATAAAGTGTGGTTTAGTTCCCTGAGTTGATTTTTGATGGTTGGTAAAAAGGACATGGCATTAGGCCTTTCTTGAAGCCAGTTGTTTGCCCAGTTTTTTCTGGTAAATTCTTGCACTTAGAACCTAAGCTACGTATCTAACTTTTGCACATGATTGAACATGTCATCTTTGCCCACATATTTATTAAAATTTTTCCTTAATGTTGAGGTAATCTCGTTTGGTATGCAATGTCCTAAGAATTAGGTAATATATGTGAGTTAAGATTTCATTGTCATCATTTTCTATTGATTAATTGGCTAGATTACTTTTGGTTACAAGAAGCCACAGGTGGTTGACATGGCAATTAAGTGTGCACATTATTAACACTTACAAACAGTTTTAGGAAATAGTAGGTGTGGCCTCTGTCGGTGAGACAAAACTAAAAAAGGAAAAAGGGGGTTTAGTTCTTTCCTTGCTGTAACAACAATTATCCAAAAACCATTTTGATGGAGTTAGTTTTTGTCAGGGAACTTTAGCAGGTTGAATTATGAGATGAGAAATGTGAAAAGGGAAAGGTTTCTTGGTCAAGGATTGGGTTAGGTAAAACTTATCTTAGGACTGGAATAATAATGGTTGCACACTTGATCAATAAGCCAAAACAGTTTTGGATGTGCTAAACCCTTAATCACTTGGGAAAAATGGTTATGATTATCGTGTTGAATCCTTAATCACTTAAGTCAAATCTTTAGTCTATGGTGTGACATAATCTACTAATTAGGGTGTGGCCAAGTGGGTGAAAATCTTTGCTCATGTCTTGAAGAATTCTCCGTGCTTGTGCTGGTGGAAAATAATGAGTCCAATAGAACAAATGAGGTGCGTGTAAGTTGGTTCGGACACCACCACCACCAATATCCCCGTATAATTCTACAAGTGGAGTTTGGGGAGGGTAGTGTATGCAGACATACCTTACCCCTACCCTGGGGTAAAGAGGCTTTTTCCGAAAGACCTTGCTCGAGGAGAAGGTTGGTTCGGACACCACTTTATGAAATGAATCTAGGGTGTGACATAATGTTAAAATTCCATTTCAGCATCTGTGGAACATAGCTGTACTCAATGATTATTCCTAACTTGAATGTAGAGACATCAAGACCAGCCTGTTTGTTGACTAACACTAGCCCCACCTGCTCTTTGTTTTTATCTTGACTTTACATGATTATCTGTCATGAATTGTTATCTCTTGGTTTAAACATAATTAAATTTATACAGTTGACATTAACCTTTTCTTCATATCTTCTTTACTTAAGTTATATTCCTTGTGAGTTGTCTAACATATTTGCCAACACTCTCTTTGTATTGCAGGAAAGTTGATGGAAGTAGTATGTGGTACACTGGGGTCATTTGCTTTTGCTAGTTGTCATTAAAATTTGTATACTGAGGATCTTCTGAAGATAAAGAATTGAAAGAAAGAATGGTGAGTGTCTCAAATATATGTATGAATTGTGATTTAGTTAGTCTACTTAGAAAAATAATAAGGGGCCAAAAAAAAAAGCTTATACCATTTTTTTTCTTAATAAAATGGCAGTTTTTAGGAGGGCTTTGTTGATGGTGATGATAAACATAAAGGGAAGGAGAAGTGCTTGCATTGGAATAGAATTTGGACCTAATCTCTACCCCTCCTTCCTAAAAGAAAGAAAAGGGAGAATATCATCTTTTGTCTTATTTTTGTTATAAATACTGTAATTACGTATCAATTTTTTCATTTGTATTTAAGTTTGTTCTGCCGACAGTGTTTGTATCCACAAATGTATCCCCAAAAAGGAAAAAAATAAATAATATTTTTGCAAGAGCATCATCTTTTTTGTACTCTCTTTGTCACGGGCGGTGTGCTTAGTTTTGGCCCTTTTTTTGATACCATAGCTTGTGAATTAACTATACTTTTTCTAGTTCTTTTAATATATAGACTATAGTAATATAATGAATGTGCTTTGTTTAGTGTAAAGGTCAAACTTCACTTGCCTTTCTTAAAGCATATGTATACAGAAAGTGTTCGCACCGAACAAATAGTAAATGTAAGATATGTTTTTTTTTGCATATAAAGTTCAATCATTTAACTATGCATAATTTATGTGAACTTATTTTATTGAGCACAAGTTTAAAAAAATAGAGAAGACTTTTAAATTTGTAGTGTAAAATGAGGCACATATATTTTGTGTGGTCATAAATTATTACATAAAAGTAAATTGTTTACAAATATTGAAGGAGGTCATTCTTTTTGGCACGAACTAAAAAAAATAGGTTTACATAAATTGAAACAAAGAGAATATATACTTTCACTCTATTTTGTGATTCTATGTGATAAACAAACTAATTAGGTATAAACATTGTGTGCGAATAAATATTTTTACTTAAGCCACCCCATCCTTTATTAGTATCGACTTAATTTTGTAACATGTAGCTTGAACATGATTTAAGCTTATGAAGCAACAAAATTTTAGCTAAACAAGGCGACAAATTGTTGTTATATGTCTTGTAACATTCCCAAGAATACTCCTTTCTGTTCATAAAACTAATAAAGAAATTGACAAACAAGAGACGATATAGTAATATTTTCATGTGAAAGGACTTGGGTGATAGTTTAATTCATTTGCCACTAAACGAAATTGTCATCTAACTAACCAAGCAAAGCACACATTAAACCTATTTATTCGTTTATTTCTAGAGCTTAAATATGTTCAGAGCCAAAACTAAATTATACATGGAAAAATTCGTGAGAAGTTGCGAACCAACCATCTAATTTGATGAGAAACCTTGTCAACTTCGGGGCCAAACGAGAGCAGAGGCAGGGGCGTACACAATTTTTTTTTATAAGCGGTGTCATCATTAAAAAATAAATATTATAACGGCATGAAAAATAAAAAATTAAGAAGAATAACACCAGCAAATTCGGTCACTCACAAGTTGTAAACTAAAGATGCTTTAAAATGTGCAAAAAAATCAAGGAGTGGATTTTGATCCCCTACCCTTTTAGGTGAAAATGGATGTGTTGACCATCAGACCAAGTACACTTGTTTATCCATTGGTGTCATTTTATTAATGTATTTGTTTTTTGGGTCCACTATTTATATGTGTACTTAGTAAGATTTTCTAGTGAGGTGGTGTTGGATGAAACCGCTTCGACTAACGTGCATCCGCCCCTCAGCAGAGGCAACAGGGCAGGTATTCCCAAAAAAGAAAGAAACCAAAACAACCAGGAAGGTAATAACGAGTAAGACTAAAATAATATTGATTATAAATTGAACTAAAGAAAGAATGTTAACTGTTCGACAACGTGAAAACTGCACGAGCCTTGTTAAGGACTAAAGTCCTTAATAAAAGCGACCCTAATCCCTCCCTAGCCTAGATCAAAGATCTTCGTGCCTTTTTTTTTTCCAGGCCAAAGTCAAGTTCGTTACGGTCAACAAATCAGCCCTGCATCATATTCGATAGCGATTCAGATCACCTCCCCAAGCTTGCCTAACCTAACTATGTGTGAGCAATCAATCGTGACAAGTTGACCGATCCACAATGAAATATCGATTAAATTGCTTTGAAGGTTGAGTTGTATGGCTATGCTTTTTTCCCGTCAGAGCAATACTTGAACATTATTAATCTGGCGTCTTCCTTAACTGTTGAAAAATTATGGTTTAGAACTTAATCATCAAATGAAAAAGTATACATTTGCAAAAAAGGAAATTGTTTAGTTTTTAAACAACTTTATAAAGAAAGAGGGAGGAAACAGAACAACATCAATTATTGGAACAAAACAAAATACAACTCCAAGTAATAGAGTAGAACAAGCGGCCGGCATGTATTTGCATGCTCCTTTTGATGGTGATTAAGTTAATGATTATTCACATTATTGATCAAAGGGAGAACCGAAACTGAGCTGGCCTTAATATGAAATTATTTACTTGTAAAAATAAGAACCAAACTTATGTACACTAATAAAAAAATTCCAATATTAACGTATGTATTTTAAGGTTACTTTACGTTTTAAGGTATCAAATTAGCTTATTATAAACAACTAGTTATATGTTGTTCGAAGTAATTTTGATATAATTTGTAAAAGCTTTTTGTACTGTTAGTATGCAAAAGTTAAATTATTAGAAAAATAAAATAAAGTGATATGGGGACTAAGGCAGTCAAACACCACCATCACACTCTCTCTCTGTCCGGCAAAGGCGGATGGAGAATTGCGTTTATCCTGATGCTTTTAACACATATCATAAATTTATGTGTAAAAATTTACTAAAATTACAATAAATAATAAATATGGATTCATAATTTAAAAAATACAATTTGGTTAAGAACCTTAAAAATCAAACTCATAAAACTTAAATTCAGGGTCAACCTGCTCCCAGATCCTATCACACCTATTGATTTCACTAGGTTATCTTTATCGTCATCAAAAGGAAGAGGAAAAAGCAATATTGGAGCCAGAAGTTTTATTAAGAAGTATCAAAATATAAAGAAATAAAAACACAAAAAAAATAAGAGGAACAACATTTATACATAGTGTATTTCCGGCGAAAGGATCAAATTGACAACTCTTAGCCTAAGGTAGCTCCAGCAATAGGAAGAAGTCTAGAAAGTTCCAAAGATTTTACTTATAATAGAATTTTATAATGAAAGTTTCATCATTTCATGTGCCTTGGAACTTTCAGCGGATCTTAGAGCAGCAAAATATTTTAAATGGACATACTTTCTTGTTACACACATAAATAGATTTTTAAATATATAGACATTAAATGAAAAATCTAATAAGAGAGAGTTCCACCTTTGTAGCCATTATTTCAAGTTTCTTTTAGCCATTCCTTCAAGTTGCCTCTACACGATGTAATTTACATTTTTTTTTTTACTTTCGAAAATCGATTTTACTAATAAGTATTTCATTTGAATGAAACTTAATTAATTGTTTAAATACAATTTAAAAAGTTTAAATTGATGCCAGAAAACTGTTATAAGCAAATAATTATTTATTTTATAATACTAAGGAGACAATGTTGATCATTTGAGTGAACATTAAATATTGTTGAATTGTATATGAATTTATGCAACAATATATTAGCTCATTAATATGTTTTATATCTCCTTTATGGACCCAGATATCCCGCAAACGCCTTCAATTATAATGTCTACCACTTGAGTCTGATTCCTGTGAGAATATGACCACTTACCACATGTCTATTTGACAATTACATAGGCGAATTCATAATTCAAAATAAGTAGTTACAAAATAAATGTGAACGTATTATATGCATATCTTTTTAAAAAATTCCTCGCATCATAGGTAGATATATAGTTCGAACTAAAAATAATGTTTTAGTTGAATTCACAGAACCCGTTCTAAATCAGCCTTTAAATATACAATTAGCTGGAACCATCAGTGTTTAATTTTAAAGGAGCAAAATGCAACTTCCAGTTAACCATTATGAATAGATGGAGCTGGGTGATAATTTTGAAGAAAATCCATCATGTCATACTTCAATAAGCATCGAGTACTCTTCATCCACTTCACATTTGTGGCAATGTTTGCGACTTGTTGTTTGAAGCTGAGCCGGTATTTATATTGAATCATTATCACTTGTTCTAATGAGATTTTAGTTATTCTATTTCTGTTATACGTCTTTTTGCCAGATTTGTATATGTTGCACGGGTTATTTGACAAGTGAGTAATTTTTAACTTAAAAATCTTATCACTATTTCTCTCAAGTTAGTCAAGATACTTACTGAGTACATGGAGTCGGCTATACTCGTACTATACTTCTGCATCTTGCGTGCAGATTTTGGAGCTGAGTAGCTGTGAAGACGGAGCTTGCATTGGAGATGTACCAGCGAATCAGATTCATGCTACCCTGTGTTCATGGTGTAGACATGTAATTTTTGACCCTCCCGAGATTTTACACATTTTAGCGTTTAAATATTTAGTTTAGGTCTAATATCACTATTTTAACTAATTTTGACTTTTTTACTTTATTTTATCACAAAAAATAAAAACTACAAAATAGTTTCCCTTTATTTAAGCTACTTGGTATTTTGCCAAGTTAATTGTTTTGATTTATTCTACTTTTGATAAAATCTAAAATGAAAAAAAAAGTCACGTTATTTAAATTACTAAGTTTTCTCAACTTTGATGCTATTTTAAGCCCTATCAAAAGAAAAGAAAAGAAAAAATATTTCCTTTAGTCCATATGTTAGAATACATTAAATTTTTCTGTATTTTTTATCTCTTATTTTTTTTTTTACTTTTGAATAACTAAAATTAGAGAAGAAAAGAGGGAGTAAATGAAAATTCACATGGCTAATACACACACGAATTCATCACTGTACACTTTTTTGATTTTCTTTCATCCACAGTTCGTCACTTTCATTAGCAGCATGTACCATCACATTTATTTTAAAATCTTCCCATTCTCACTTTTATATATTTTTGGTTAAATCTATTTGGAGGATAATTCATACATAGGATTTTTGATAAATTAACTCCCTCCGAGAAGGATAATATTCCCTGACCCCAATCCTCCTCACGTGATCTCACACACAAAAGCACACACCTGCACATATATAATCCATATGGCCGCGCACACGGGGGAAAAAAAAGGGACGAACCCTAGCAGCTTGGATAAAGAACGCCGTCGCTTCCTTCCTCGTATACCTATTCCTCTGGCTTTCCTCCATTAACGCTGCAGCAGCTCCACCACTAGCGTTAGGACACCGTCTTTTAGTTAGCAACAAAATCACCGAACTCCATAACCCAAAGCTAAGCTCCTCTGGTTCAGCAGCCACAAAATACCATAGTCAAAATCACCCCTGCTTGCCATTCA